TATATATACACACACAGTAGTGTGTACAGACATTTTCAGGGGCAGGTGCTCAAATGGAAAAAGAGGGCACCTTGTCCGGTGCATGAAATGAGCTGCTGTCCTAATAATGTGACATTACAGACACATCTTGTACATTGTGCATATTTATCTATTTTAAATCAGCTTTATTCTGTCTGATTCAGATGTTTAATATTCAACACTCTACAGGTTGGTTTCTGTAACAAACTGGCAAAAACAGAACAAAAACTAGTAATGACAATTTCTGTAGTGTTTATAAAATAACTATAATCAAGGTTATTTTCACAAAATTACTAATGGTTTTTTAATCTGTGGAGGATCTTCCTTCAGTCTGTCCATCATGGAGCTGTTTCCATGATCTGAATTCTAACAGTTCAGCTTCATCTGTGTCTGACGGAGGAGAAAACATAGAGCTGCTTCTCTGCTGYAGCTAAAACACCAACAATATGAAATATGTTTATTTGGGTGAAACGGCTTGGTGACAAAGGTCAGTGCAATAAATTAAAACATTTAAACTAATCAGACTGTAAATTACTGTCAAAATGTAACACAGTAACACAGGGGGTTGAATTCACAAGAAGGCGAAATTTCCACACTTAGTCCAGATCCAGAGCCAATTTCTGTTAATATTTATTGAAACAAAATCAAAATATTCTTATTATACTAATTTTATTTTCCAAATTATGGTTTATGTTGCATTTAGAACACCCAAAACCTGACAGAGGAGATTAAATTTAAAAATAACTCATTGTTAGCATTCATTATTCAATGTTTGACTTTAAAATGAAAAGAAAATACAGAAAAATAAAACTAAAGCTAATTCTCTTTCCACGCTAAAATCAAAGAATACTGAAAATTTCAAATTTAATTTTCTTAATATTTGCCTCATTAGTCTTTACAGACAACAGGAAGTGAAGTTTAACTTCAGCGTCTGAGGTTTAGGGGGTAAAAAGTGACCAGATCCTGTGGACCATCACAGTGTGTTCTTTTAATATGGACACATTAGACATCCATTGGCTGTTATTACACAACAATGTTTTTTTAAAGGTATTTAAGGAAAAAAAAGTACATATTTTTATTAAATACATTTTAACATTAGTCTTTACAGACAACAGGAAGTGAAGTTTAACTTCAGCATCTGAAGTTTAGGGGGTAAAAAGTGACCAGATCCTGTGGACCATCACAGTGTGTTTTTTTAATATGGACACATTAGACATCCATTGGCTGTTATTACACAACAATGTTTTTTAAAGGTATTTAAGGGGGAAAAGTACGTATTTTTATTAAATACATTTTAAAATTTATCAAAAAATGTTTTAGTTAAAAAATATTTAAAGTTTAGTATTTTTTTATCATGATAAAAAAATATAACCGGTCATATGATCTGTGCTGTTCTCTGTCTGTTCACAGACTGACAGGCATGTTTCTGAACTGTAAGTTTCTTGAGTGAATCTGTTACAGACAGTTGCTTCACGGTGTGTTTCCCTTCA